TGTGTGTGTGTGTGTGTGTGTGTGTGTGTGTGTGTGTGTGGCCAGCTCAGCCCACCAGGGGGCGCGGCTGGCATATGGTGCTGGGGGATTGAACCGCGGTCCTTGTGCTTTGCCAAGCTTGTTCCAAGTAGGTGCTTTAGACCACTGAGCCCTCTCTCCAGCCCTATATATATTTCTTGTTCATAAGCGAGATGGCATGGGTTAAGATGTGGCAGATTTATTTTCTTTTATAATTTTTTTTTCGTACTGGGAATCCAACTCAGGACCTTGTGCTTGCCAGGCAGGCGCTATGCCACTGAGCTACATCCCTGGCCTGCGGCAGATTCAATACTGTTAAGTTTTCACTTCCCGCCTGGAAAATATTAGTCTGATCCACACAACAAAAACCCTTTGAAGATCTAATAATTCATAAGTGGTGGGGGAGACAGACACGTCACACCATGTTCAGCTGTGATTTGCTCTTTGCTCCTGTGCCTGTCTCTCCAGGCAGGATGGGAGCCCATGAGGGTCATGACTTTTCATCCACTTGCCTACTGTGGTATCTCAACACCATCTTAGGTGCTCACTAAGTATCTGATGCACAAAATACTAATCAGTATCACTTGCTATCATTATGGGTCTGTTTTCTTCCCTGTGCCCTATGCCAGACACTTTATAATCAAACAAGACATCCAAAAGGAGCAGGGACCTGGATTCAAATCAAACATCTGCCTCTTTCTCTCCTGGGTCAGGAAGCTTACATCTTTGAGCCTCAGTTTCCCACTGGGCACAGCTAGGCATTGTTCCTGCCATGAAAAGGCAGGGGTCACTCCACCTCCAGGAAGGACATTCACACTTCAAATGGTCCCTCCCATCTGACCATCCTGTCTTGAGCACTGAGCAGCTGCCAAGCCGGGAGTCAGGATCATCCAGACCCATACCTGTGCTCTAGGAGCCCCGTTTGTAAGGGAGATATTGGTTGTGTGCTTGGGCCAGGAGCTTCTCTTTCTGTGCCTCAGTTTCCCCACTGATAAAATGGGGCTAACAGTAGTACCACTCAGTGAGCACTGAGGCCAGATCAGCAGAGGAAGCACCTGATGAATGTCACTAACTCTGGGCAAGGCCAATGCTCCTCCTCTGGACCTTCTCTCTCCAAGGAAGAGGTGCCGGGATCCTGAGAAACCTTCACCATGCTGGCTAGTTACCAGTTTCCTCTTGGCCATGGATCTCTTCTCTTAGTGCCCCACGCCTTAGGGGTAGTGGCTGCCTGCAACAGTCACTACCAACTGGATTGCTTCAGAACCCTTTCCTGCCCTTCCAGCCCCTTCCATACCCTTGAAATAAATCCCTTAAGTCACCTCAGTTCGAAATCCCTCCACTGGGAACTGATCCTGACCTGGCCCGTGGTGGTGCAGGGTCCCCCACTGGGCTGGCCAGGCCATACCTGCAGTTTCTTGAGCTGGCTGTTGACAGTGGCCAGGTCCCCCCCAGGGTCCACATCTTGCAGCTGGCTTTCCATGTGGAGGAGCTTCTTGTCCAGCTCAGCAAAGCTCTGCACCAGCTGGTCGGCCTTGCTGGCCTCAAAGAGCTGCCGCGCCTTGGCCTGGGTCGTGCTCTCCAGCTCTGCCCAGCACTGCCGGATCTCACCCAGCTTCTTCCGCACAGAGGCCGCCAGCTCTGGCTTCTCCTGCATCAGTTGCTGGCCCTCCTGCCCCAGGCAGGTCGATGACAGGAGACAAGGGAGTGGGAGCAGGTGGTGGGAAGGACAGAAAAATGGGGGGGGAGTGACAGGACACAGGAAGAGAGACAAAGGTAGGAGGTTGGGACAGAAGAGTGGATGTAGAGATAGACCCAGAGGTGGAAGGAACCAAGGAAGAGAGATAAGGAAAAGAGACAGATGGTATGGGAAGGAAGACAGAGACACGGAGACATGAGACGGGGACAGGGAGAGACAGAGGGACAGTGAGTGATGGGTACAGGACATGCACATTCAGGCAGGACCACAGGGAGAGGATGGTGAGGAATACAAGAGACAGAAATGGAAGAAGAAAAACAGGGAGATTAAGAGAGGTAGAGAGACAATGAACTTGCATTAAACTCAAGAAACCTAGCTTCGCTACGTGCCCTCAAGTATAAAGTACCAATGAGCCTTTAAGGGTTGAAGGCCAACTTGGGTCTCCATCTGAGTTAGAAACATGGGGACAGCCAGGCCTAAAGGTCTAGGGGTTCAGTCAGAGTAGAGGAATACTCTGGGATCTAACGCTTAAAGCAAGGCCGGGCGTGGTGATGCACAGCTGTAATCCCAGCACTCAGGAGGCTGAGGCAGAAGGATCACCACTGTTTCGAGGCCAGCCTGGGAAACATAATGAATTCAAAGCCAGCTTGAACGGCATAATGAATCCATCTCAAAAAAAAAAAAAAAAAAAAAAAAGCTTAAAGCAAAAGCCTGTCTGATTCCTTCTGGAAGTAAGATTAAGATCCTTGGTTACATAGATTGCATATTAAAACAACAGCCAGGTGCAGTGGCACATGCCAGGAATCCCAGCTACTCGGGAGGTAGAGACAACAGGATCACAGTTCAAAGCCAACCTGGGGAACTCAGTGACCTCTTGTCTCAAAATAAGTGAAATAGGACCGGGGAGATAGCTCAGCAGCATAAAGTCATAAGTGCCTGCCTGGCAAGTACAAGGTCCTGAGTTCAATCCCCAGAACTGAGAATAAATAAAATAAAGGGCGGAAGGGCAGCTCAGCAGCAGAGACCTTGCTTAGCATGAGCAAGGCCTTGGGTTCTACCTCCTGAACCATAACAATAACAATGCTGCAGGAACTACAGCTGGTAGGTGCCTGGTTTTGTGTCTCATAACTGATTGCACAAAAGCCAATTTAATTTTACTCCAAAGAGGAAACCAAGACTCAAAAACCATAATTTTCCAAGGCCCCACAGCTGGTTACAACCATCAGAACCCAAGGCTGCAAAAATTTGAAGTTCGCTTAACCACTGGCTTCCCAGGGCCGCCCCAGCCCATCTTTCTGGCCTTTCATCTTCTGTGTACCAAACGGTAGAGAAGGAATCCTGGTGGTGGGCACAGGAAAGGCTGACCAAGGTGCCAGGCATAATGGTACACGGTATAATCTCAACTACTTGGGAGACTGAGATAGGAGGATCACAAGTTTGGGCCAGCTTGGCAATTTGGCAAGCTCTTATCTTAAAAAGGTCTTGGGGGATAGCTTGGTGTTTACTGGGTTCAATCCCCAGTATCTAGAAAACAAAAAGGAAAGAAAAAGAAAACAGGAAAAGGAAAGAAAAAAAAAAAAAGAAAAGAGAAAAAAATAGGAACAAAATGTTAACAAACAGAAGCAAATGGACACCATTTTGAAGAGAGTCTGGCCATTTTACAGATGGGCAAACTGAGGCTTAAAGACATTACATGAACCACTTTTACACTATACTGCTGGCACCAGGAGCAGAGGTGATGTGAACTAGTTTAAGGGTGTGAGGCCAGCAATATGGCAATGGAGGGGTCAGACATAAGGCCTCCATCCCTGGCATGGGAAGGGGGGCTGTTGACATCCTCACCCTCTCGATCTTCTCCAGCCACTCCTTATTCTGGGCCAGCTCGGCCATAAATGCCTGGTGCCGGAGCCATCTCTTGTGCAGCTTGTGGCTGTCTTCCCGTGTGCCGTCCCTCGCCATCAGCATCTTCTCATGGATCCAGCCATCCAGCTGTGTAAGGCAGGGCAGCAAGGGTTCAGCCAGTGGCCCCATCCCTGCACTTTCCCCATCCCCTCCAAGGAGTCCCAGGTTTGGGACATGGGATGCTAGGGTTATGGGACAGGGGGAGGAAGCGGTGGAAAGACTTCTACAAGTGAGGCTTTTACAGTGAGCAGGGGATGGGGAGCTCAATCTCCTTCTTGGGTAGATGACGAATGGAGGGCTCCTCAAATAACAAACCCTTTGGCTCTCCTGTCTTATGGGCAGTCCTCCTCCTTCTCTCTATGAGCCCCCAAGGTATGACTCCTGGACCAATTCTCCTCCCACTGGGGGCTAAATCAACCCCCAAGAAGCCCCTTCAAGCTAAGTAGCTAAAGTTCAGTTCAGTGACAGCCATACCCACAGTAAAACTCCAGTCCTTCCATTCACCCTTTGCCATCCCTAGGAAGGCCAATTCAAGATTTTCAACCTATTCTGGAGGAGCAGAAACTTCTCTCTGTCCCAGTCCCCCCAATGGCCATATCAACTCCCAGAATAGGTTCCCAATCGGGGCTAGGTCTTGCTCCTGATAAACCAGCCCTCCAATCTGAAGCAGACCCAGGCTCTAAAACTAAAATTCAGTACCTCTAGTGAACCCAAAGGGCTCCCAAATTCCAGCCCTGTGATTCTAAGACAGGTTCCCCAAACTGTGTTTTTGTTTTTGTTTGGTGGAACCAGGGATTGAACTCAGGCCCTTGGGCTTGCCAGGGAAGCCCTTATTCTACTGAGCCATCTCTCCGACCCCTGGTTCCCCAAACTGTGAACCGCCAAGCTCCCAACTAAACCCAACCCCTTAAATGTGAGCAACAAGGCTGCCTTCTGGATCTCTGAACAAGCCTGCTCTTGAATCCAGTCTTAGGCATCCCAGTGTGGGGCAGATCAAACCTCCCAAGGCAGTCCTCCCAAACTAAAGCCAAGTCTCATCCCTCTTCCAGCAAAACCAGCGGTGAAAGCTGCTAACACCAAATGTAGGCCCTTCTCAGTAGCCTCATTGGACCGAAGGCATGCTGCTTTCTGAGCCCATCCCTCCACGAAAAAACAAGCGAGAGGTATCCTCCAAGACAGAACCTCTCCATTCATGACCAAACCTAGCACCTGGG